AGTGCCTCGAATCGCCTCTTGGGCCCCCCCAAGAGGCCAAAATCCTTCCAGAAGCTACGGGAAATCAATGTGTTGTGCATTTTCGCTTTTTCGCTCTTGGAGCCGTCTTGGGCCATCTTGGACGTCCCAACGACCCGCGGACCCCCTCGTCCAGGTCGGTGGGGAGTAAGGGGAGGGGTAAACCCCTCCCCGAAGGGAACGAAGGGGTTGGCAGAGGAAGCGCTCTAGACCACCTACGCCCTAAAGGGCTGGTGAGATTCGCCCGCCGCGGAGCGGCCTGTCACCCCTAAACTGCGTCGGCCCACGCGGATATCCTAGCCCTGGGCCGCTTGGTCCAAGAGGCGGCCCGCTGGGCCGCGCAGCAAGACGTGAGGCTGGCCGAGTCCTCGGCCCAGGACTCCGACGCCCTCCCGCGAGCGAGGGCGGGAGAGGAGGTGGGGGCCCGTCTTTTTCCTTCGGTTTCGGACCCCCCGCCCCTGCCCTGCGCGCTTGTCTCGGGAGGGCGCGGCCGCTTCAAGCCCCAGAGCCCTCTGGCCTGCGGCTCTCGAGACGACCCCGAGTTGTCGCTGCTGCTGCTGCAGCTTCTCGGACACCGTCTGCGCGCGGCCGCTGTCTCCGACACCCACGGGGCCACCGTTCTCTCGGGACCCACGGCCCTCGTCTGCATCGCCTGCGGGAGCTATGCGTGGGGGGGGGGGCGTCGCCTCGCTGGCGCGCCCGTGTGGGGGCAGGCCGCCCACCAAGCACACGGGGCGGCAGCTGGCGAGGGCGTGGAAGGGGGCTTTTCCCCTCGTGGGCCCCCAGGGATGGGGGCTGGCGGCTCGGGCCCTTGCGGGAGCCCTCCTCGGGTGACCTCCTGGCCCTGGTGGCCCCTCGTGTGCTTGGTGGTGTGCGGGCCTCGCCCAGGGCCCAGGAGCCCGTCTGGGGGCTCGGTGGTCCCGTGAGGAGGTCCTTCGGAGGTTCGGCGTCTCCTCGGACCAGCTCGAATTTTGGAAGGTGCGGGACGGGGACTCGGGCCCTCCCGAGGAGGAAGAGGATGAGGATCCCGCCCTTCCTCGAGCTGGCTAAGCGGTTTTGTTTTTAGGCGTGGCAGGTACCGCCCCACGTCCTAAACTAGAATATATTAGAATAGAGGAGGAGGAGGAGGAGGAGGAGGAGGAGGAGGAGGAGGAGGAGGAGGAGGAGGCAAAGGCGGAGAGGGACGGGTGCACCTTTTGCGAGGTCGTGCTGGGGGAGGGGCCTGCTCGGAGCGAGCGCCTCGGCTTCTCCTTCGCCAGCGGCTCGGCCGAGCTCGCCCGCGGTCTCGACGGTCGCGTCGTCGCGGACCCGACCAGCCAGGGGGTGCTCGTCGTCAGGCGGGTGGCCTCGGGCGGCCTGCTGAACAGGTGGTCGGAGGGCGCGAGCTGCATCCAGCCACCCACGGAGGGTCGACCAGGAAAATCACCTCCTCCTCCTCCTCCTCCTCCTCCTCCTCTCCTCCTCCTCCCCCTCTCTCCTCCTCCTCCTCCTCCTCCCCTCCTCCTGCGGCCCTCCATGTTTGCGCTACGGCCCATCGGGCGCCGTGCGCACACCACGCAGACTCCCACGCCAGATTTCCCAGTATACGCTGAGCCCCCTGGGGCGGTGGGTGGTGGTGTTCGTTTGTCTTCTGTTCCAGGGGGGGTGGGGGGAGGGGGGAAGGCTTCTTAGAAGCACCCCTGCTTCTTAGAAGGCGCGGGCCTGGCCTGTAGATGCAAGGCCGGCGCCTTCGAAGAACCAGCCTTCTTCTGAGAAGCCTTCCCTGCGCGATTTACGCACCTGCATCGACCCTGACAACCGAGGAACCCAACATATTGCATGGATCCGAGCTGGGCTCCTTTGGCGGCGCCTCTGGCGTCGCCCCTGGCGCGCTCCGCGCGCCAGGTACAGGGGTCCAGCGCGGATCCAAGAACTCCGCGCGAACCTTCAAATTTTTTTGTTTATGCCATTGTTGGTTTTTCTAGCCAAGGCCGATGCTGTGCCCAGGGTCGGTGTGTAGACCTTCCTGCCCTGGCCAGGAGTGCGTACACGCCCATCCTAGGCACAGGCTGAGTCTGGCCAGGATCGGTGTAGGTGTATAGCCTGATGTTTTTGTCAAAGCGAGGCCCCAAAGCTCCCGACCCCGTCCTCTGGGCAGTTTTGCGCCCTGGGTCCGCTTCGCATGGTCTCAGAGCCGGACAACGGGGCCCCCAGGGGCCGAACTCGGGGAAAGAACGCTTGGGTTGAAAACGTCGTATTCTCGGAGGCCGGGGTATAGTCGGCATCCTGGCCAGGATCGGTGTAGGTGTATCGTTGGTGCCCCCCCCCCAGGTGGAACCTGGCACACCCCGTGGCCGACGTCGTCGCTGGCGACCGCATCGTGGAGGTCAATGGCGTCCACGGGGTGCGCGGCATGGTCCGCGAGCTGCGCGCACCCGTCGTCAGGATGCTGGTGGCGCGGTACCCAGAGCGGTTCCATGTGGAGCTGACGCAGGTACACCAGCACAACAAGGGGCAGCGTTAGGGGGGATGGGCTGAGGCGGGCATGTTTCGGCCTCCAACCGCCCATGCATCGCCGATGGGGGCCCGATGGCCCATCCCGCCCAGGAACGTGGGGATTCGCTATCGAGAGTGCATCGCCGATCTAGCGGCGATGTATCGCCGATTCCAGGTCGATGTTTCCCCCCTGAGCTGGTCCCCCTCCAACGTTCCCCATCTCACGAGCATATGATTTTCGGAGGTCAGCGCGGATTGTCATCGTCAGAGCCATCCCCATCCCCACCAGGACAGGGTAAAGTAGCCCTCCCAGCGTACCCCCTACAGGTGAGGATGGGTGCCGCGAAGCTGAGAAGATTGGCATGGGCATGAGCTTTAATCGGACCTCTGAGATCTCTTTTGGCTCAAGCACCATATAGATCTCAAGGACTGCCTATACCCTGCCTCAAGATAGGCACAGTCTACCTACCGCCAGGGCCCATCGGCACCCCAAAGTGCTGGCCCCCTGGCAGCATTCTTCTCTCGCTGCATCTGCGCGCGATGCCTTTCTGCCAGGTGTGCTCGAGCAATGGCGTTGCGGGTGACGCGATCCCGGGATCGGCCTTCTGCGCTGCTCACGGGGCTGCTGGGGAGGACAACGCGGACGCCTACGTCCACGCTTCGACACCGACTGCAGCGGCTTCGAACCTCACCCAGGGTGTCGCGAGCCTCGGCCTTGGCGACTCCGACATGGTGGATGCGGAGCTGGCCGCGCTGGACGCCATCGAGATCGATGATACCGCCAGGATAGTACCGCCGCCGGGGCTGGCGCCGCAACCGGCGCGGGAGGCGCTCCTGAAGGAGTGGGTCGAGAACGGGTTGCTTCAGCACTTCGATCTGGTCCAGCCTGCCTCACTCATGAACTCGGATACCCAGGGACTCCCTGTGACTATGCCAGCGTCGTATGCGGACTTACTGGTCTTGCTGAACAAGCTCGGGTACAACTTTGAACAGAATGACCATTGGACCTCACTCGGCTTCGCTAGACTGGAGGGGCCTGACCCGACGGCCGTCGACATTATCGCTCGTGGCCGGGCAGCGCTGACCTTGGTATCTCTTGCTGCTTCCCCGGGTTGGCTCCCAGCGGACGTCCAGAAGGCCAATGCCTTGCGCGGCCAGGTGACGGCCGCAGTCCATCGCTGCGAGACAGAACTGACAGCTGTTCTATCCGAGCGGCGTCGTGTCAAGGCGAGCAAGCTGCCGGTGTACAGGGAGCTCGGGCTCGAGGCGTTGCGGGCCATCCAGGGGTGCGTGAACTTCCCCAACGTGAGCATCTACACGCAGCTCTCCGATGTGCTTCGGGCGAGGAACCCTATGGTTAAGGACAAGACGGTCGCCAGGGCTGCTGCCGCTCTCGCGGAGAAAGGCAACGACACTTTGTTGGATCAGCTGATCGGCCAGACCACCGTCATGTGGACTCCCAGCGACCACAACGCCCTTACCCGCCTTCTTTTTTTTTTTTCTTCCGCCGCTCCTCTCACACGCAATGCCCAGATTCGCTCGTCATGGTCTCCACGGTCCCCGTCACAAGCGGCCTCACCACCGTCACGAACATCACCGACCTCTGCTCCTTCCCCCTGCTGTCCGAGACGTGGCTGCCTATTGTCAAGGACGTTGTCTTTATCTCTTTCCCCTTCGAGATGGTGCTCCCTACGGTGTCGGGTTTCCCACGAGTTGGGCGACAGGGATTGGCCCTCTTTTTCCTCCAGCAGGGTGGCCACCGGAGCATCCCCCGCATGCTCGACACGACTCCGTTGTTCCAGGTGGACGAAGTCAAGGCGTTCACGTTCGATATATTGGCGGACTCCTTGCATCAGTTCTTGGCGCTCACCGCTCTACCCCTGCTTGCGGGTGTGCAGTTCCGATGCCACCGGCGGAGCCCTCTGAGCACGGCGGAAATGCCCCGTGTGGCCATCGACATGGTCTTCCCAGGCTTCTTCACGGACTTCGATCTCACCACTTGCGTACAGACGCTCCGTCGCGTCCACCTGCCGACCTCGACATACTTCGGCTCCAAGGGCCTTGCTGCAGATGCCGATTCCTTCATCTTGGAGTGCAACGGCGAAGGCGTCTTCCACCACTACTGGCCGCTGTGCAGCCAGATGTCCGTGCTCTCCAAAACGAGGTTCCTGGTCATCTCCGAGGCTTCGGCGGAGACGTGGACCTCAGTGATGGACAACGTCTACCAGCAGGATCCTGGCAACGCCGCGTCCCGCCTCAAGCATCGCCCCTCGCGATTCGGCGGCCGGGTGATTGCGTCCCCAGCTGCGCTTGCCCCCCGGGTTGCTGCGGCAAAACGCCGTGCGGCCAAGGGCTCCTCCCTCGCCGACTACACCGCTGAGGTCACAGTCAGGGGGGAGTTGGGGCTTCAAGACGCCGCGGTTCTGCACCGATTGATGGACCATGCTTGCGAGACGTCTGGCCTTTCACTTACGCGAGCTGCGGACGCGGAGAATCCCCGCCCAGGGGAATATTACCACGCCGCTTCCCGAGATCCTTCCGCACCAGCCGGCGTGATCAAGGTCATTGCCAAGAGCAGGGGACGTTTGCAAGCTCTACACGGCTCTGCACAATCAGGCGATCCAGGTCGGCCAGGACATGGTGGGGATCCAGGTGGCTAATGACTTCATCGACCTTGCAGTGGAGTCGGGAAACGACCCGAGGGCGCGGGCCTAGGTGCCCCCCGCGCTCGCCGAGGGCATGGGCACCTTGCTACAGGGGCGAGGTCGGTGGCCGACCTCAGAATTCAGTGCATCGATTCGCTGGGCTTCTTGGACTTCGCGGTGCTGGTCGTCTTCAGTATCCACGTGGACCGTCCTGGACCGTCCACGCCGTCACGCGAGGGCCGCCGGACTGCTTCGCGCACGTCCCGCTGCTGCTCTTCCTTGCCATGTCGTTCTTCACCCTGCTCTCAGAGCGCCCGCATTCGTTCTGCCAACTGTCTTCCTGCTCTGCTCTTCGCTGCCGACGAGCTCCTTCCCGACGGGGACCCCTTCGGCGCCTCGCGCGACGTCCCGATCGATTTCTACCGTCGCCAACGAGTCCTCCGTGCCATCGGCGCCATTCCGTCCGACAGGATCCTCCCGCCTCCGCTGTCTCCGGGACGCCCGCCGCCACCCCCAGCTGGTGCGAGACGTGGCCAGTTTATGGGCGACGTGGCTGTCACGGCTTGGAATGCGCAGGCCCTCTTCGCTACCGGCGTATTCCGCTTCACGGCAAAATCTTCGTACGTGGGCCAGCTCATGCGCAAATCCGACATTTGCTTGATCACAGAGGCGCACGGCTCGGAAACGGGCAACGGTACGTGGAGGCCTCCGGATGGTACCACTTGCTGGTGGTCTACGAGCTCCTCTCCTGGAATGGCCGGCGTTGGCGTGGTGGCCAAGGACGATTTCCTCCGCCAGTTCTCTGCGCGCCCCAAGTGGGTGCATATTTGGCGCGGCCGGGCGGCCAAGCTAAGTCTCCGTGGTCCTCTCGGCTCCCTCGACATAGTCGTTATCTACGGCCATGCGGGCAACCATCGTGGTCCTGCGGACGCTGACCTCGACGGCGTCCCGCGGGCTCGGCGGCGCGCTGTTCACTCCTATTTCGATTTACGGAGCCTTCTCCGCGACAAGATCGGCTCCAGTCTAGCTCCGCCCGACGACTGCCTCACCATCTTGGGCGGTGATTTCAACTACGTCGTGGATTCTAAGGACAGAGTCTCTCTCGGCATGGCGGAGTGCACAGGCCGTCGGGACCAGCGGGGCGAACGGCATTTCCAGACAGTCATCGGCAACAGATTTGGCATGGTGGACATGTACCAGGGCGAATCCACGCACGCCTCGGCCTCCTCCCGCTCCCGCCTCGACCGCATATACGCCAACTACCATCTGGCTGAGCAGCTGGATCGACACATCCGCTGCACGGCACTAGAGTGGCGCCACGATCTCTCGCATCACCGGGCCGTCGACTTCGCCAGGCGCTCCCCGCAGCCAGTTGATGACGCGGGCAGGCCTCTGTCCTCAGGGGCTCTCTCAGATCCTTCCTTCCCGCGCCGGGTGGCGCTCGCTTGCCAGGGGGCTCGCCGGGAGCATCCCGATGCCACCGCACTGGAGCGCCTCAAATTGTTCAAGACGGTCCTGAGACTGGTCGCGACCCGCCTGGACAGGGAGCGTGGTGCGCCCCCTCCTGCGGCAAGCCTTGAAGACCGCCTTGGTTGCGCGTTGAAGTTCATCCGCGCCGCTGAGGCTGGCCACATTGAACAAATCTCAACGTGTCTCCTTCGCTATCCTGACCTGTGCGGCGTGGTGGACAACCCTTATCGTATCGACGGTGACATGACGAGGCGCTCGACTCCACGCTGTGCAACTTGCACGTGAGCGCGCCATCGACGAGCTTGGTCACTCGCACCCAGACCTCAAAAGCCAGGACGCTTTCCGCGCCGCCCAGGCGCGCCAACGGAATGCTCGGCTCATCTACCGCCTCGCCCCTGGGCGCGCGGGCGGTGTTTCGGCAATGCAGAAGCCCGGCGGGGAGGTTGTCACCCAGCCCGATGCGAAGGCCGCCGCCTTGCGATCCCACTGGGTTGAGGTCTTCCGGGCGAGAGGCATTAACATTTCAAAGCTGGATCAGTGGACTGCCGAGGATATCGACACCCGCCCCCTCTCAGACACGGTGCCGCTGCGCCCGTCGACATTCCGAGTTGCCCGTCGACATATCAGACGTGCTATTTTGACAGCAAACAAGTGGCACGTGTGCCATGGCTCTTGCACAGAAAGGATGGGGGAGGAGGAAGAGGTGGAGGAGGAGGGGGAGGAGGAGGAGGAGGAGGAAGAGGAGGAGAGGAGGATGCGGGGAGGAGGAGGAGGAGGAGGAGGAGGAGGAGGAGGAGGAGGAGGGGGAGGAGGAGGGAGGAGGAGGAGGAGGGAGGAGGAGGAGGAGGAGGAGGAGGAGGAGAGGAGGAGGAGGAGGAGGAGGGAGGGAGAG